TATAGCAATTGTGGTATCATAGCACAATTGCACCTTAAGGCACTTGGATCCTCATATAAGCAAAGATCTTGAGAAAGGAATTTCATCATTGTTTACCATACTCCACACAAAACAGTGGCAAAAAATGCCATTATTTCAGTTATTTTATTTAATGCGAGTGGCCTGAATCCACCAATGAAAAGACATAGTGTGACTGGTTAGATCAGAAAATTGAACCTAACCTTCTGCTACCTAAAAGAGACACATTTGAACCATCAAGATAAACAAGGCCCCAAGTAAGAGGCTGAAAAGCAACCCTACATGTAAACAGTAGACCTAAAAGGACAAGTAAACTTTATACTAAAAACAATACTAAAAGACAGAGATGGTCATTGTATAATAATCAAAAGATATATCCACCAAGAAGACTTAGCACTCATCAGCATATACACACAAAACTAGGACCATCAAGATGTGTAATACAAGGACCAACAGACCAGAAGGAAATTATCGACAGTAACATTAATAGTACTAGGAAATTTTAATACCACCCTCTCACTATTGAATAAATCAACCAGACAGAAAATCAATAAAGAAGTAGAGGCAGTAAATGAGGACATGGAAGAATTGGACTTAATAGACAGCTACAGAACTCTCCATTTCAAAATGCTAGTGCATCTGGGTCATTCTCTTCTAAGGAAAGCCACATCTGTGCTTCTAAAACAAACATAAAATTAAGAAAATAGAAATCATATAAAGAATCTGCTTTGATTACAGTGCTTTGATTGTGGAAATTAACCATAAACATAAAACTGAGAAAAATTCAAGCACTCGGAGGATCATCAGCACACTACTTAACCACAACTGGGCTAAAGAGGACTCAAAGAAGAAATAAAAAGAACCCTGGGCACAAATGAAGATGACGACATGAGTACCAGAACTTACAGCACACAGGAAAAGGTGTACGAAGAGCGCTGTTCATAGCAGTACATTTATAAGGAAACAAGAACAGGTACAAATAGGGCCTGGAAAGATAGTACAGCAGGTAGGGTACTTGCCTTGTCAACCTAGGTTCGATCCCCTGCATTCCATATGATTCCCTGAGCACCACCAGGAATAATTCCTGAGTACAGAGCCATGAGTAACCCTTGAGCATCGCCTGTTGGGTGTGGCCCAAAAAACAAAACAAAAGAAAACCAGATACAAATAAATAATACAAAAGATTAGTGAAATGAAGACCTTATTTTTTTGTCTAGGAATTAACAAGACTGACAAATACTTGGCCAAATTTACAAAGGAAATAAAAAAAGATGACTCTGTTAAGTAAGATCAGAAATGAAAGGGGAAAAATTAGAACAAATACTTCAAAAACACAAAAGATCACGCGAGATTACTATGAACAACCTGTCATTAATTTGGGGACTCTGGAAGAAATGGATAAATTTCCAGAGTCTTGCAGCCTTCAAGACTGCATCACAAGGAAGTAGAAATACTTGAATAAGATCTATTGTTATTGAGGCAGTCAAGATAGTAATTTGGGGGGGGAGGGGTCACACCCAGCTATACACAGGGCTCACTCCTGGCTCCGCACTGAGGAATTACCCCTGGTGGTGCTCAGGAGACCATATGGGATACTGGGAATCGAACTTGGATCGGCCGCATGCAAGGCAAGCCCTACCTGCTGTGCCATCACTCCAGCCCCTCAAGATAGAAATAATTTTAAAAACAATAATCTCCCTAAGAACAAAAATTTAGGGCTAGGTAGGTTCACCAGCGAATTCTTACAAATCTTCAAAAAAAGAGCTACCACCAATCCTTTGTTTTGGTTTGGGGACCAGGCCCAAAGGTGCTCATGGCTCACTCCTGGCTCTTCTTCAGGGGATCACTGCTGGCCAGGCAGAAGGTTCCCCCCACCTTGGGGGTGAAGCTGGGAGGGGAGGATAAAACTCAGGTTGGCCACATGTAGGCAAGCACCCTTCTCTCTCTACTATCTTTCAAGGTGGTATCACTGTCACTGTCCTCCCATTGTTCGATTTGCTCGATCGGGCCCAGTAACATTGTGAGATTTATTACTGTGTTTGTCATGGGTAACTTGCCAGGCTCTGCCAGGTAGGTGAGATACTCTCAGTAGCTTGCCAGGCTCTCCAAGAGGGGCAGAAGAATCAAACTCCGGTCGGCCATATTGGCCACGTGCAAGGCAAACGCCCCACCCCCTGTGCTATCGTTCCAGCCCCTAAGGTGGTATCATATTTTAAAATTACTCTTAGTCTTCTGTGAATTTTTAAGGTTATTCCCTTTTTTCTTGCACATTTAAAGAATGATGCTATTTCCAGCAAATCAGAAGATGCAGTATTGTGGCTATTGAGATACTTTTCTTAATAAGCGTTAGTTTTATTTATTATGTAATCTACTTTTTATGATTATAATAGAATTAAATACAGCAGTGTTTTGTGTAGTAGAAAAACAGTAGGCTCTGCTCAACTGAATTTTCTGTCTTAAATATTAACCATGGATATTGTGGATACAATTGAAATTATTGTCATGACACTTCTTATTGAATATTGCAACTTTTCAAAATAATTGAAATCAAATATCATACTTTTTTCTTACTGCAAAGACTGTATTTGTTCAATGGAAAAACTTAGTACTAATCCATAAACATTAAAAAGGTTAAAAGACTAAAGAGATAGTACAAATCTGTCAGGTATTTGCCTTGTATGTGGCCCATTTGGGTTTGATCCCTCACATCCTGATAGGGTTGAGGGAGGGAGGGAGGGAGGCAGGAAGGAAGGAAGGAAGGAAGGAGGGAGGGAGGGAGGGAGGGAAGGAGGGTATAAAGGAATCAACCAGAGATAGCCTTTTTAGGCATTTTTAAGATTTGGTAGTTTCTCATGCATGAATAAGGGAGAGAAGCCACACTTCTCTTTAACAAACCCCTTTTATACAAAACTAAAACATCATTTTTCAACTCTACGCTGATTTATTTTTAAATACAAAGCATTATATTGGACACTCAACACACATGTTCTCCTATGCATTGCTGGAATTGACTGTTGTCACAAGTGACCCTCTTGTAAGGTGCTGAGCACTACTGGATGTTCATCCCCCACCAAAAAAAAAAAAAAAAAAAAAAAAACCAAAGGAAGAAATCAGAGAAAGAAAACATTGTATTGACATCATTGTACAAACACTTATAATTTACTTAGAAATTTGTTTTCATTTTATTATTTGTTTGTTTGGAGGGGTCACAGTAACAGTGCTGGAAGCTATTGGAAGCTATAGGGCACCCTTTTATGGTAATTGTGACATTTTAGTTTAAAACTTTTTAAACTTTTAAACTTTTAAAACAAGTGTTTAAAACTTCCAGTTTATTTTTTTTTCTTTTTAAAATTTTAGCCATGTTAGTAGGTTGTGTGATACCTTTTTATGGTGTTAATTTACATTTATTCAGTAACTAATAATGTTGAGCATCCTTTCATGCCCTTAGTTTGCAAGTCATATATCTGTTTTGGTCAAATATTTCAAATTGTTTGCCATTTCTTTAAAAATTACATTGTTTACTTATTAATGGGTTTAGAGAGTTCTCTATTCTGGAAAAAAAATTTTATTCTTTTCAATTTTCTCTTACCACATCACTTGTCTTAACTGTCTTTTGAATAATAGAAATTTGACTTTTTGTTTCATTTTTTTCTTTAATTTGTTAGATATTGTGTGGATTATATATACTTCAGATTATATATGCTTCAGATGCCCATTGAGGTCTCTTTGCCTACTGACATAATGTTTTCTCTCTGAAGTTTTACATTTTTAAATTTAGCATTTTGAATTTCTGTGAGGTGTGGTGATTGTCTCATAGTTTGTTGTTGTTAGCATATTTAATATATGCCATTTATTGATATGACTCTCTTTTGTTCACTGCACCTTCGCTTTTTATCTGCACCTTTATAAAGCGTCAATTTTGTGTGTGTGTGTGTGTGTGTAAGGATATTTTATTATCTTTTCAATAACGGTATTATCTATAATGGTGTCAGTTGGCTCACTCCTGGTTTTGGTCATTTATTTTTTCTTTTTTCTGTCCCACTAGACTAAAAGTTTATTAATTGCTATTACTCAGAATTATATTTATAATGAATCTTCTTTTTTCTTTTTATCTACTTTTATTATATCTATTTTACTGTTTATTTTTAATTCTCATACCTGCTTTGAATTTAACTTGCTTTTTCTAGCTTTAAGATGAAAACAGGTTTTTTACATGAGCCTTACCTTCTCTTCTAATGTAGATGTTTAGTGCTCTAAAATTTCCTTCATTTTTTGCTGTAATCGGTTCACACAAATTTTGGTACATTCCATTCAACTAAAAATATGTCCTAATTTTCTCTTTTATTTATTCTTTCACCCTTAATATATACCTGTGATGCAGTTAACATTTGAAGATTTTCCAAATACTGTTTGCTATTATAGTTTCTGGGCCGGAGTGATAGCACAGCGGGTAGGGCGTTTGCCTTGCATGCAGCCGACCTGGGTTCGATTCCTCCGCCCCTCTTGGAGAGCCTGGCAAGCTACCGAGAGTATTCCGCCTGCATGACAAAGCCTGGCAAGCTACCCTTGATGTATTAGATATGCCAAAAACAGTAACAAGAAGTCTCACAATGGATACATTACTGTTGCTCACTGGAGAAAATTGATGAACAAGAGGAGGACAATGCTACAGTGCTATTATAATTTCTACTTCTACTCCATTGTGGTCAGAACATGCATTATGTGACTTGACCCTCTAAAAGTGTATTGAACTTTATCTTAATGATCCATAACATGGTCTCTCTTGATAAATACTTTATATGAACTTGAAGACTGTGTATTCCATTGTGTTGGGTAGAGTGTTTTACTAGTGTCAATTAGATATAGTTGGTATCTAGTATTAGTATAGTTGATATCTAGTGTTCAAATCTCTAATATTTTGAGTTATTGTATCTGCTTTTTTTTACAAATTATTTACTGATATTGTCTCTTTCTTTTTACAGTTTCATATGTTCTAGCTTCATGGGTTTGGAAGCTTAGATATTATGAAAATAAGCATTTAGGATTATTATATCCTCTTGGTGAGTAGATAATTTTATAATTATATCTCTGGTAGCATTCTTTGCTTTTAAATTTTTCTGTTACTAATATAAACATTTCGCCTGATAATAGCATAAGCATTCTTTTTTTTTTTTCTGTTGTAGATTTACAATTTTTTGTGCTTGGGTTTGATTATACAATGATCAGATACCCATCCCTCCACCAGTGCCCATTTTCCACCACCATGGATAATATCTCCCCACCCCCATCCCCCCACCCCCATCCCCCCACCCCCCACCCCCCGCCTCTGTGGCAGGGCAATCCCCTGTGTTCTCTCTCTCCTTTTGGGTGTTGTGGTCTGCAAAAGAGGCATTGTGTGGCAAACACGTTCAGTCCATAGTCCACTTTCGACATGCATCTCCCCTCCTGGGAGGGTCCTCCAAACACCCTTTATTTGGTGTTCCCTTCTCTGTCTGAGCTGCCCTTTCCTCTAGGATACCCGGCTGGCCTCTAAGTTATGGAGTAATCCTCCTGGTGCTGATCTCAGCTATTCTTGGGTATTAATCTCATACTTTGTTACTTTATATCCCCCAGATGAATGCAATCTTTCTATGTCTATCCCTCTCTTTCTGACTCATTTCGCTTAGCATGATACTTTCCATGTTGTACCACTTGTATGTAAATTTCATGACTTCATCTTTTCTAACAGCTACATAGTACTCCATTGTGTAGATGTACCAAAGTTTCTTTAACCAGTCATCTGTTCTTGGGCATTCAGGTTTCTTCCAGTTTCTGGCTATTGTAAAGAGTGCTGCAATGAACAAACAAGTGCAGATGTCACTTCAACTATACATTTTTGCCTCTCTGGGATATATTCCCAGGAGTGGTATCATAAGCATTCTTTTTAAGTAGAATGTTTATTTTAGTATTCTGATACTATGAATATTCTTTTGACAGTAGTTTTTATTGACATGTATTTTTTTTCCCTAGTTTTTGTAATCTATTAGTCTTTTTATATTTGAACTTATAAGAAAATTTTAGTTAGGTCTTTCTATTTTTAATCCATATATATCTTATAACTCAGATATTAGTTTATTTTCATTGAATATGACTAATGATTAGGTAATGGTTAATGTATAATCTCATTGAGTATGATTAGTATGTCATCTTATTGGACATATTTGCCATCCATTCTTTGTCCTTTATTGTTTTTTGAAAATCTGAATAGTTTTGTATTTCATTTGGTTGTGTTTGTCTTATTAGCTAAGCCTACTTGTTTCATGATTTTACCTATTTAACTGATTATAATATGCTTTCCGCTGGTAATATGCCACATCTCAGGTAGTAAAGTACATGATTTCTTTTTTCAACTTTTTTCCTCTCAAAAGCATAACTGTCAATTAACAATAATGGGGCCAGGATTTGGAGGGAAGGAAGTTGTACCAGAGTGGACACAGGGACGGGATGAAGGGGAAGTCAGGGGCACGTCAGTGGAGGAGTGGGGTGCAGTAACTTTGTACATCAATACCAGAAACTTGAATGCTACTGTAACCCTATAACCTAAACTGTAATAAAAAAGATACTTCCCATGTTGTTTCCATTCCTAGTATTTTTCCTTCCTGACTGTTAATCCACATCCTAATCTGACATCTTGTTTCTTCTCCCTGAAGGACATAATTTAACATTTCTTATAGTATTGCGTGTATTGGTGATAAATTGGTCCAGCCTTTTAGTGAGCAAAATGTCTTTATTTCTCTGTATTTTTGAACAATATTTTCTCCGAACACATTTGGTTTCCAAATGCAGCTTTTTGAATCTGTCTATGGCTTTACTCAAATCTGGAAAAAACTTATGCCTTTATTTCTTAAAATAATTTTTCTGTTCTTTTGTCTCTGTCCAATTCTTAAAATATTAAACTACTTAAAATTGTTTTACCACTCAATGATGATGAGGTTTGTTTTTTTTTACTCTCTTTTTCCTGAGTCACATTTTAATGATCTCTAGCACAATGAGTTCAAATTTGTTAATACTCTCTTCCAACATTTTTCATATGCCATTAATCCATTCTAGCATATTTTATCTTATATATTCTTATTCTAGTCTCTGGAAATTTTACTGGGGTTTGAAAAAATATTTTCTGTTTCCACACGGGTATGGTGTTGGAATTATATGCATAAGAAACCATCGTAAACCACAGAATTTCAATTAAGAAATTTTAAAGAATATAAAAACAACTTGAGAAGAAAAATATCTTTTGTGTCTGTGCTTTATTTTTTAAGCATATAAAATACAGTCATTCATTTGTCTTTACAAAATCTAAGGTCTGGGTCAGTTCAGGATTGGTTTTTATTATTGTTTACATTTCAGCCCAGATTTTCCTACTACTTTGTGTGTTTATTTTTTAATTTATATAATGCGTTAAGAATTATGCTTTGCAGGGTAATGTAAATTTTTGTGATTGTCTATAGCTGTTCTTAAGCTATGTTCTGATACAAATTTAGACAGGTCAGAAATAGTATAATCAAGCCTTTTAGGTCTGCTTCTACAATTTGTTATATGAAACCAAAATTCTGTTATTTTAGGTCTAGGTTATTTCCTCTAAGTCCAGACCTGCCTTTGTACTCCTCCCAGTGTTTTTTAACGTGGGAATTTTTTCATTCTGGCTGGTAGGAACAGTCTCTAATAACTGATTACCATGGAGAGCACTGATCACAGAACAGTATGATACAATAATCATACAATAATCAGTAACATACAATAATCATGGAAAAGTTGAAAGTATTAGGAGAATAACCAAAACTTGATGTGGCAATACCAAGGGAGCACATGTTACTGAGAAAATGATGCTGATGATAGATTGCACTACAACCTTCCACTGTGGGGGAAACACAGTGTCCAGGAAATGCAGGAAAGAAACGCATGACAAAATGAGATGTGTGTATGTGTGTGTGTGTGTGTGTTTGTATACATGTATGTATAAGTACCCACAAAAAATACAGTCATTCATTTGATTTTTTTTTAAAAAGGGGGGAAATAGTTTTTTTTTTTTAAAGAGGGAAATAGTTCCGCATGTGCATGTAGGAAAAAAAAGTGTTTTTTGAGGGGGAGGGTTCCACCTAGTTGTTACTCAGAAATCATTCCTGACTGCCTTGGGGGACCATATGGGATATTGGGGATCAAACCCAGACCAGCTGTATGCAGGGCCAACTCCCTACCCACTGTACTATCACTCTAGGCCCCCGAAAGTGAGTTTTATATATAGGAATCAAACACTACTTATCCATTTTAAAAAGGAATAAAATACTGCCATGTGTGTGGAGGAATCTTGAGAGGGCCTCGTATAAGTGAAATAAGCCAGAGAAAGCGAAATAGTACATGATCCACATAAATCAAGTTCCCAGACACAGAGAACAGACTGCTGATGCCAAAGGCACAAACAAGAGGGTAACTGGTCTTGTAAAGTGGGTAGAGCGGATATTATCTTCCACTTACAAAATTAGTCCTGGGGATGTGTGTGCAAAGCATGACTATAGTTAATAAATATAGTTTCGAATATGAGGTATTTGAAAGTTGCTAAGAATAGATTGTTAAAGTTTTCATCACAAGAAAATAACGGCAACATATGTGGTGATAATTACTAACTAGATATGTGTTCATTTCATAATGTGTCCATATATCCAGTCACTGTGCCGTGTCTCTGTGCTTTCACATTTTTCCTGCTATGCACTTTTCTATGTGTTTCTATTTTATAGGACTGCAATTCTACTAGGGGATTGTAATCCTATAGTATGTGTTTCTTAGTATGTTCTGTATCAACATATTCCTTGTTGCTACATCATCTTCATAATTACATTTTAATGACAAGATTAAATTTTATCAAATGATTAAATTGTAATTACTTTTATATACATTGTTAAGCATTTTCATTATGTATTTATATGAAACAATTATCAGACAGGGTTGTTTTTAAAGAAGCTTATCTTTGCCTTCATGCTTATTTCCCTGGCACTATGAGACCACTTCAGATCCCTTTCCATGTATTATTACTTCCCTTTCCAGTACCACAAAGGCACATTAGGTAAAATTAAAAATCCTGAATATACATATATAGAGAGAAATTTTTTTAAAGACATCAGTATCTTGATAGTGTGGTCTATTTCTTCAGTGTTTAAAATTGTACCCTAAAACATATATAGTCGTTTTAACCAAGCGCATCTCAGTAAATAGCAAAATAATAAATAATATAAGTATAACTGGATTTTTTTAGTATTCAATTATGGTAATACCTCAGTTTCTAAGAATTATTCATGCTTAATTATTTTTAGGGAGGTGACTCCTCAAGTCAAATACTTCACAATGCAGAATTCTTTGTCAGTACCAGCAAGAGATCAAGGTAAGGAAAATAGTATTATATAAATGGCTTCACTTGATACATTTAATGTCACCATCCTTTGACCATAAGGTAATTTATATCATGAAACTTAGAAAATTAAAGCTAGTTATGTATGTCTCCTTTGAGGTCTTTTTTGGAGATAGGAGGGAGGTAGGAGAAGTTTGGGTCACACCCAAGCAGTCCTTAGGGGCTACTCCTCGCTCAGCTGGCGGCATGGAAGGCAAGCAACCTTCACCCCCCAGCTGTCTCTCCACCCCCATTCTTCTTTTTGAAATCGAGGTTAGCTCATTTGACCAAAGCTCATACAGCCTAGGCCGTTAGCTGGCACTTGCTGGCATTAATATCTGTCAAATGGAATTATAGGGTGTGTTGACTTCAGGAAAGCAAAAATGCATGTTTTTAGTGATACATATATAGTGTATAGTGAATATATGTACATATATAGTTATTATATGTAGTATGTATGGTCACACATTTATAGTCATGCATGTATGTTTTTAAAATGCACATGGAGAGGAAAGATATTTGCTTATGATCTCTTTGAACTGTTTCCTTTAATACTTATTTTATTTATTTATTTATTTTTGGCTTTTTTGGGTCACACCTGGTGGTGCACAAGGGGTTACTCCTGCCTCTGCACTCAGGAATTACTCCTGGCAGTACTCAGGGGACCATATGGGATGCTAGGAATCGAACTCAGGTCGTCCGTGTGCAAGGCAAACCCTTCTACCCACTGTACTATCACTCCAGCCCCAATACTTACTTTAAAAGAAATAAAAGGAAAACTGTTTCTCTTTCATGTACTTTATTTAAAAGGCAGTTAGATCTGGGGGCATCTCCAAGCAGTACTAAGGGCCACTCCTGTTGGGACTCCATCCAGCTGCACAAGCCAGATTATTCAGTGCTGTGCCCCAGAGATGGGGGCGGCGCTGCTCAAGCCCACCAACAGTGGCAGCCACCAGGGCTACAGCCCAGCACAGACACGACAGGGCTGGTGGTGCCCAGGATTGAACTTGGTCCTGTGCATAACCCAGGCTTGTGCTCTAGATCTCTGAGCCATATCGCTAGCCCAGAAAATCGTGACTTAAAAAAAAAAAAATCTCCTAGAGTTTTCCAAAAAAAGGTTTACAGATAAACTTTTTCTCCCTGTAAAAGGTTGAACTCTACCTTCTACCTATTAGAAAAGAAGTCAAGTCTTTCACCTGCTCTTACATGTTGTTTATCACATGGAAGGGACGTTTGGGGTGTATGTGTGTCTGTGTGTGTCTGTGTGTATGTATATGAATGTTTTTAATTATACTGGTTTAGTGAAGGGTGTAGGGAATTTACTGTCAAGAACCTTCAACTGGAGCAAATATTCTTTGGTCTCCTTATCAAAAAACAACTCCATTAAGAATGGAATTTAGGTTTGAAACTCAATTCCACCTTTGAATTAATATTGACCTCACCTTTCTCATTTCTAATACATGTCAGTTACCCAGCATATTTCTTTTTGCAAAATAGACACATATGAGAATATGGGATGATAGTGTCTATTTTTCTTAGTAGGAGTTATTTTTGAGTTTTTCTCTGTCCTTGGGGGCTGGTGCAATATGACAAAACATTGGCCTCCAGCTTGGGCTGTGCATTGGCCATAGTGGACCAAGCATGTCCCAAGGAAAACCTATAGAAAGTAAACACAGCCTCAATCCCTTGGCTTGGTTCCCATTCAGGCACTGAAAGAAAGGAAGAGTTAGAATCCTTGAGACCCCTTCATGATATGGTCTTGAACTCTTAGGCAAGAGAGGAGATCAAAATGGGAGAAAGGAGAACACAACCCTACTGAAGAGAACAAATTGCATTCCTGTGAGTGTTCCTGGTGTCCATATGCAGATTTGTGCAGTGGCAGCTGATGAAGGGCTTGGAAATCTGGTGTTCTTTCTTCTCACACCTTCATCTGAGCAAGCTAGGAGAGATGTGACTGTTTCGAAGAAAGAGTATTATATTAAATGTCAGGAGGGAAAAAAACTGGCTTCTCATTCACAACTTCTGACCAGCTGTGGAAATTTTGCCTTGGCTTCAGTTTCCTTAATGGTTAAGCCAGGAATAGTAAACTCATTCTTTTCTAACTCTGAGTGTCTAACTAAGCCATACACTTATATACCTCTTGCCTTCTTTGCTTCTCATCAAGGTTTACTTTGCTTTTATGTTTTATTATGGTGAAGGGGCAGGAGGTGCCAGAATTGAACCCAGAGCCTTGCACGTGCAAAGTATCTGTTCGACCGTTTTGAGCCATATTCCCAGCCCATTTCTGTTGAACATTCTAGGCTTTTGTATAAGTTTAGTTTCCTCCATAGATTTGACCACAAAATAAAATCTGTTCAAACCTCATAGATTCAACAGCTTCAGTAAATTCCTCATGTTTTTTTTTTTTTCCTAAAACCGAAGATACTTAAGCCCTGTTTGGACTGTTAAAACAACTAAAATAGCTAATTAATCACGTGGCTCTGGCATGCAGTTCATTCTACCTATAGCTTTATGTCCTTTCATTGATTTAATTCTCATAGTCAAATATTATCTGTTGGGGTGTGGGGGAAGGAAGGAGGGACACATCTGGTATGCTCAGGGCATACTCCTGGCTCTGAGTTCAGGGATCACTTCAGGCAGAGTGCAGGGTACCACATGTGGTGCCATAGATTGAACCCAGATGGGTGATATGCAAGGCAAGAGCCTTACCCACTGTAATCTCTACCCACACTAAATCACAACATTTGTCTTAAATATTCTGGGAGATGAGGCATTTCTATGAGATCACAACCAGGGGCTGGAGGGATAGTATTGGTATTGAGATACTGGACTTGCAGTCGATCCGCCCCCGCACGACAGGGCCTGAGCAGTACCATGTTCTCAGACCCTCAGCATTGAACTGCTGAGCCCACTGCCAGGAGTCACCAGGTGGGTCCCACATGCCACTTGAGCAGCCACCACTACCATCTCTCCACCAAAGAGATCCCCAGCCAGCTAAGTAACCGAGCTAAGATGGAAACCCAGGTGGCTCAAAATCCAAAGCTCACCTTTGTCCTTATGTCACTGTAAATGTACTAGTATTTTAAATCCCTCTTTGGGTCATCCCCTTTTTTGTCCACTAATCAAAGATATTAGACTTATTTATGTGTGAATATTTAGAACTATTTTAAACTAGGAGGCTGGAGCTATAGAATAGTGGGTGGGGTGTTTGCCTTGCATGCGGCCTACCCAGGTTCGATTCCTCCATCCGTCTTGGAGAGCCTGGCAAGCTATCTAGAGTATCCCACCCACACAGCAAAGCCTGGCAAGTTACCTGTGACATATTCGATATGCCAAAAACAGTAACAGCAAGTCTCACAATGGAGACGTTACTGGTGCCTGCTTGAGAAAATCAATGAACAATGGGAGGACAGTGCTACAGTGCTATTTTAAACTAGATATAAAATAGCTTGTAGTGTAAAAAGTCGTAGCAATCAGGAAAAATAATATTATATAGTAAAGCCTAAGAATTGCCTCATTTTTTTTTTATTAGTGAAGCACCATGAGGTACAGTTGTAGATTTACAAATCTTTGTGCTTGGGTTTCGGTCACACAATGATCAAATACCCATCCCTCCACCAGTGCCCATTTTCCACCACCATGGATAATATCCCCCCACCCCCCCCTCCCACCCTGCCTCTGTGGCAGGGCATTCCCCTTTGTTCTCTCTCTCCTTTTGAGTGTTGTGGTCTGCAAAAGAGGCATTGAGTGGCAATCATGTTCAGTCCATAGTCTACTTTCAACATGCATTTCCCCTCCTGGGAGGATCCTCCAAACACCCTTTATTTGGTGCTCCCTTCTCTATCTGAACGGCCCTTTCCCCTAGAATACCCGGCTGGCCTCTAAGCTATGGAGTAATCCTCCTGGTGTTGATCTCAGCTATTCGTAGGTATTGATCTCATATTTTGTTGCTTTATATACCCCAGATGAATGCAATCTTTCTATGTCTATCCCTCTCTTTCTGACTCATTTCGCTTAGCATGATACTTTCCATATTGTACCACTTGTATGTAAATTTCATGACTTCATCTTTTCTAACATCTACATAGTACTCCATTGTGTAGATGTACCAAAGTTTCTTTAACCAGTCATCTGTTCTTGGGCACTCAAGTTTCTTCCAGTTTCTGGCTATTGTAAAGAGTGCTGCAATGAACAAACAAGTGCAGATGTCACTTCGACTACACATTTTTGCCTCTCTGGGGTATATTCCCAGGAGTGGTATCGCTGGTCAAATGGGAGCTCAATTTCTAATTTTTTGAGAAACGTCCATACTGTTTTCCAAAAGGGCTGAACTAGTCGGCATTCCCACCAACAGTGAAGGAGTGTCCCTTTCTCGCCACATCCGCGCCAGCATCAGTTGCTTTTGTTCTTTTGAATGTGGGCCAGTCTCTGTTCTAATTTTTTGAGAAACGTCCATACTGTTTTCCAAAAGGGCTGAACTAGTCGGCATTCCCACCAACAGTGAAGGAGTGTCCCTTTCTCGCCACATCCGCGCCAGCATCAGTTGCTTTTGTTCTTTTGAATGTGGGCCAGTCTCTGAGGTGTGAGATGTATCTCATTGTGGTTTTGATCTGCATCTCCCTGATGATTAATGATGTAGAGCATTTTCTCATGTGCTTTTTTGCCATTCGGATTTCTTCTTTGAGAAAGTTTCTGTTCATTTCATTGCCCCATTTTTTGATGGGGTTGGATGTTTTCTTCCTGTGGAGTTCAACCAGTACTTTGTATATCCTTGTTATCAACCCCTTGTCAGATGTGTATTCGGTGAATATCCTTTCCCATTCTGTAGACTGTCTTTGTATTTTGGTCACTGTTTCTTTGGAGGTGCAGAAGCTTCTTAGTTTAAGATAGTCCCATTTATCTATCTCTGTTTTTACTTGCTCGGCCAGTGGCGTGGCATCTTTGAAAGTACCATTAGTCTCAATGTCATGGAGGGTTTTGCCAACTTTGTCTTC